CTACAAACACACTGGACACACAGTACACCTCTACAGTCATAATGGTTACATAGTACACCTCTACAATCATAATGGATACACAGTACACCTCTACAATCACACTGGACACACAGTACACCGCTACAAACACACTGGACACACAGTACACCTCTACAGTCATAATGGTTACATAGTACACCTCTACAATCATAATGGATACACAGTACACCTCTACAAACACACTAGACACACAGTACAACTCTACAAACACACTGGACACACAGTACACCTCTACAGTCATAATGGTTACATAGTACACCTCTACAATCATAATGGATACACAGTACACCTCTACAATCACAGTGGACACAAAGTACGCCTCTACAATCACACTGGACACACAGTACACCTCTACAAACACACTGGACACACAGTACACCTCTACAGTCATAATGATTACATAGTACACCTCTACAGTCATAATGGATACATAGTACACCTCTACAGTCATAATGGATACATAGTACACCTCTACAGTCATAATGGATACATAGTACACCTCTACAATCACATTGGACACACAGTACACCTCTACAATCACAATGGACACACAGTACACTTCTACAAACATACTGGACACACAGTACACCTCTACAGTCATAATGGACACAGTACACCTCTACAGTCATAATGGTTACATAGTACACCTCTACAAACACACTGGACATACGTCAACAAAGTTGAGTAGTTTCTAGTGTTTCAATAATCTGTTTCGTGTGACGAAATTTTAAAATCAGCCTAAAAGAGAGAGCGAAAATCCGGTTTGGTATTTACACGATCAGCGTCTGTGTGAACCTAAAATATTTAACATGTATCCATCAGACGTAAAACTAGACGAACGAGGTTATGCTTCACGTAAACTACAACACCCGTGTGAAACAACTTGTTTACATTTGTATCGAACGGACTGATCAGGATGTAATGTAAACGACCTTTCGAGAGTTCTAGCCAAATGAGAGTGATGAGTTAACCTGCGCATCTTTCAAAAAGGGGGTCCTAGTTCCCTTTTTAAAGGAGTGTCATCTTTCTAGTTAATCCGTAACTTTCAGTTAGACTTAATGTAATATACAAGCAGAGTATAAAGCAAGTTATTAAATACAATCAATTGCTAGAAGCTATAATATTTTTTTATCTTATACAATTTATCTAACAGGTTTTTTTATAAAACACCCCGGGCTTTCAAAGATGGAATTAATTCGAGAAGATGCTACCAAATAATATTCTTAGTGCATCATTCCTTCCTGTTTTCCTACCAAGTAAGCCAGAGAGCAATAATTCAATTTCCTACAAAAAAAAATATATACATATAAAAAAAATGAAGCTTTCAGATAATCAGCACAGAACAAAATCTTGGCTTATGTTAATGAATAAAATCTAAACTTTAATGATGATCCAAGCCGTCCAATCTCGGTGAATTCCGCGAAGCCTTTACAATCATTTCCTTCCTATGTTATAATCTCTTCATCTTTCATCGTAAATTTTCCAGGAATAACAGCTTATCGTTTGGTTGATAGTTTCTTATGCATAAATTAGAAAACAATAATAATTAAGTTAATTTACCATTTATGCTAATGGCTAAGATTTATAGCTTCGTCTATCTATGAGCTGATTGAAGCAAAAAAAAATTAAATTCTTTTACACGTCTCGCCTTCGAAAGTGGTATGAAAGGATTGAAATGAACCATTTAAAGTTAATTTCGTTTCATGTCACGTGACATCATCTTTAACTGACCTCTGACGGGCGAGAGTGAAGATAATCTAAGAACATCAATTATTGATGCCGTCGTCCAGTGGTGCTGTAACGGACACTCATAGCATATAGAGACTTCTGAGTGGAAGTCGCCAAGCAAGTACAGCTAGGGGTTCGTTGAGCTTGGCGCCTGTGTGAAGCGATGGTGAGTGCTGTGGAGAAGGTACCTTTTGGCCTGGATGTTGATGTTCTGGAAGCTAGAACAGAGAGCCTCAATTTCAGGTAACAATGACTTTTTTTTTCCGTCAAGATGAAATATATATATATATATATATATTTCTTATGTCGTAATAACTTAGCTTTTGTTTGATAAGTTATCTTGTTTATCTGTTCCTTTATAAATTTTGTTGGTAATATAAAAACAACTTGTGGTGCGTTAAGTTAAAATGCCTTGACTTGATATTCACACACAAACGTACACCCACACATTCTACTTAGTTTCGGTATTAACTGGTATCAACTGTGTGCGCATGTCTGAGTAATCTTTCCAAACCTCTCACTGTATCGTGTCCTACTTGTCTAAGTAAAAGAAAAATAGTTTTAAAAATTAATATATATATATATATATGTTCATAAAACGTACAGGCGGTAGTATACTCAACTCACTCATAAGTATAGACTTCACGTATAATTCATCATAAAACGTACAGGCAATAGTATACTCAACTCACTCATAAGTATAGACTTCACGTATAATTCATCATAAAACGTACAGGCAATAGTATACTCAAATCACTCATAAGTATAATTC